AGGTGCCGCAGTAGAAACGAGATTAGTTGGGCTCGGTACCTGTAGGAACGCATGGGGCTAATAAACGCGTAAGAGGTCTGCCTCTTCCATTGTTGATCGCGGACACCTCTCAACCGTCACCATCTCTTTTATTCCGCGCGGCACCTCACCAAGACTATTGACGTGCTTGTCTAAGTGTTTGTAGTTGGTGCAAATTCGATTGATTAGCTCCCGTTGGTGAGTCACCTAGTCCCCGTAGACCAACATCACACAGGTTACGCTGTGCCAGAAATGCAGTCCAGTTTTCGGCGTTCGGCAAACTATTGTGAGCTCTCTATGCCAAATCCTTCACGGATAAACACTAACTTTTTTGCTCTTCATAAGTGACGCCTTGGATATGATGACGGAAGTACTTCTGTTCCGATGCGTGCGTTGTCAGAGTTCTAAACGTCCTTGTGAACATTCCCCAAACGATGTCTGGGGATTTTCAGAGAAGGTCCAAGGGTGGATAACATGTTGTAGTGCGTGACAGTATATATTTCACTACCCTATTCTTCAGGACATACTGTATAGCATCCAACTCAGATAGTAGAGTAACGTGGTCACAGCGACCCAATGATGTGCTGGTAACTATTTTGCGGACCATGAGTTCCTCGTTAGTGAGCACAAAATCAACTATCGACTGCCTGTTAGCAGTTCGAAATCTGGTGAGATAGGTCACGTGGTTGTACAGCGGGTAGCTAGAAATTAGCTCTTACAGGCAGAATTTAAACTGTGCACCATCCGTTAATGGATTTCAATGCCGTGAATATTAAAGTCAACCGCGATGAGAATATGGCTGTAAACTTGCCCAAAGCAACTTTTAAATCGTGCTTCAGTTTGGGGTCAATTTCCGACGAATAGTTTGGTGGGCGGCAAATTACAGCTACAAGACGTGTGCCCTTGTTCTGCAACCATAGTCCGCAGCAAGGTAAGCCAGAGGCGAGGATTTCTTGGTGGTCATTAACTTTACTGTAATAAAGAATTACACCACCCCTTCCAGTACTATCTTACCGAAGCCGCGACAAGCTGGGTAACGTGATCTCGGAATGGGTTATCTGTCTGACAATACGATTAGTAGAGGTTGACTTCAAAGTCAACCGAGGCCGCAATTGAGATTGCGCGTCGCAAGCCAAGACACATTGCGGGTGCTCCAAAACCTAAAAATCGACTTCTAACGGCTGTGTCAAGCACTGCTCGCGGAGCTCATTGGCCTAGTGATTACAGCGATGGCCCCTATACAATATGCGCCATGTTTCACTCCCAGTTCGGCTACTGTCTACCTGATGAATCTAAACCAGGACGAAACCGCCGGTCTTAAGGTGAAGGGATGGGAGACAACCGCACCGAAATCCTCCAATCCTTTGATGTGTTTGGTGGCTGTTCGCTATGGAGTCGTGAGTGCTGCGTGATCCAGTTTTCGTCAGAGCTACCAGGCGTGGCTAGCGTATTCCACATTAGGTCTTATGAAGGTGTTAAGCATTTAAAAACGTAAAATCGCCCGAATGCCCTCTGCAGGACACCAACCTGTTGGTTCCAGGTCTACCGCATACTCAGTTTGTTCTGAGCAGTCCAGCTTGTGATAGTGGTGGTAGCATGCAAGATGTGGTCTGCAAGCTGTTAAATATACTGTTCGTTTGATGACGAACGTGGATGCCCCTTACATTTGGACAAATTACACTGGAACCGAATTGTGGAATGACCATTTTTAACCACTGTTCGGATTCGACTGTATATCTGACTCACCGGAATATCAAATAATCTTAGCCTTTTGATTCAGCCGAAACCGAGAAAATTAAGCTTCGGTTAATCCATCATGTAGCACGTTCCATTCCACTCGTTCCATTAGATGCGACTTTGAGATGATTCTTCCTGCGCGAATCGGTACTCCGCCTGATGCGTTATAAGCCACCTTGTCAGAAACAAAACCTCCGACATCTTTATGCGGTTCCATGTTCTTTTTGAAAAGGAGGATTATATCAGAGACCTTACTAAACTGCAGTCTAGATAGAATATTCTTGTAAACTACTGTGATAAATCGTCTTCCGGGTTTACTCCCGCTGGAAGGCCGTTAAGACGGACATGGAATCTGTAGCGGTATTTTCGATGTCCCTATTTAAGTCATGCTTTCGCACGCTCACCGACCGTGCTTGCTTGCAGAATCCTTCCTTCTCTAAAATTCTTGGCAGGTGTATCTCTGGAATGGGTATAATTGGGAGAATTGACATTCATTGCACGGCCAAAAGACGGTGATCAGTCTGTTCCGTGACTTCTGGCGATCCACATAGGATTTATCGCAGAAACGTGGCTCCCATCCATTTGCCTCCCGGTCTTATTCCTTCGGGTTTACACTGGATATGGGGTGTGTGGGTGGAACTGTGGGTGGTGCAGCGCATGCCACTCATGGTCCCCTTTGTAGGCGCAGGCATCCTGTGGCTATCCCCATGCAGGCAACAGTGACAGGCAAATCCGGCTACGGATGCCGCCATACCATATATGAAAGTATAGAGATTTGTCAATTGTATGGAAAAATCCTTCTCCATAATGTTACGGAGTCAGCGGTTGCTTGTATTCCGCCGTAAATAACTGCACCGTCATGTCAGTCTTGATCCAGCTTTGGAAGGAGTCTTGTGTGAATCCCGGCATCCTGAGATGCTGTAAGGCATAGTTATGTATGAGATGCCTGAATTGATCATCTGTCACGGAGTGCAACTTGAAGCGTTCGTGCTCATGGTTGACTATATTTGCCAGCGTCCCATAAAGGTCCGTGACCTGCTTGGCGATTTTCAGACACTAATCGTAACTGTTGAAGAAGGTGACAACTCACCGAAAAATTCGTTGTTTTGACGCCGCTACGTTAAAGATGAGTCCTTTGGCTGGTTCTGCAGTATGCGATCAAGGAACGCTGAATGTCCATTTATGTCTTGTTTGTCGAGCAACAGTCACACTTTATAGGAGTCGTCCTGACGGCTGAACTCTTTCCTGAACATAGCTTCCCAGCTTTTCAACGATGCATCGAAAGTCTAGCCAGTTAGTGTTGTGATTGAATTTGCTACTGGAGTTGGAATGAAAATCAACTAGCATGTATATCTGTACTTCGAGGCCATTTCTGTAGACTGCAAATGAGGCGCTGTGTCAAAGATCCGATCAGCTTCATGTGTGCTTTAATTTATACCCGACGTTAGTGAAGACACATTTGGAATGGCTCTACAGAAAAGTTAATTCCATTTCCAGCCTTCTCCGCCACCATTTGTTGGATCTACCTTATTTGTCACCATGTTCTTGTTTTATTGGTACCCTTAGTCAAAACGAAAGAACGACTTGTGGATTGTATACACGTACAAAAGAGTCGACAGAACTCGATTCGTACAACCCGTAGGAATTGGTCGTAAGAGCGTTTTCTACGCGCCAGCTGAGTCGTGTGACCAAAACAACGTGTCTACATGACCCAGAGGGAGAGAGGACAGCAAGCATTTTGCAGCAGGCGCTTTCACTGGACCAGCAAAGAGCAAATAGGGCGTTGACCAGCCTAATATAACAAGATTGGTGTCAAATGTGATTATTTATATGAAACAGTCTGCGTAAGCTTAATCAAGAAGCGAGGCATAAGCAAGTTAACTTATACAATATGTGAAGGTCATTGTAATAACGTAGGCTGGTTAGAAAACACTGAATTCTTGTAAATGTGGAGACTAATTGAATCATTTGCACTTGCATAAATCCGAGTGTCTATGCCTTACGTGATTTTGCTTGCTTGATTTTTAGGGACATGCGTTTCCTATACCAATCTCTGTGCGATTCCCGTTAAAATGTTCTCGACCACTTCAAACGCCAATCTCAGCCAAAATAAAAGTAAACGCAGAGTAGCAAAAGTGGCTTGTAGGTGCATCTACTGAAGAAGGATACAAGTAGCCTGAATATTGATTATTAATGCATCACATTTATACTCAGTCAGGGAGCCATCAACTTACCGAAAATACAGTGTACGACCGTCTAACCCTCATGGGGATCGTCGGCAGTGTGCATTCGATCTGGCTCCTGGGGAACTAGAACCCTCAACCCGACCGTTAACACTCTGTGGTTAAGACCACTCAACTACGGGGCGGTAACAATCAACGTGCTTAAGTTAATATACATAATGTAGTGCCATTCATAGTCCACTGACTTGCACGGTAATCTCATGCAGAAGACAGGGTAGCCCTTTCTCCAAGTGACGGACTTACCAAAATTAAGTTACCAATTACTCTATGGCATTATAAGCAGGATTGTACATTGTACATCGCTGCACTGACGATGCTACTTCGCATGGTGCTGAAATGTATGTAAGCATTTTATCAGGCTCGGAGAACCGATCATCAGGTGAGCATTATAAGCAGTTTGGTCACACAAAGAAGTAAAAAAGGTAAGTCGTGTCGGATCACTATCTACTTATGGTAGGACACCAGAAGCCCATTTTACTTATCGATCGTGTGCCTTGTGTTGCTGTAACTACTTCGACTATAGTAGGCGCCCCACACTGTTTCGATATTAAAATAAATAATCCTATGACTTATTGTGCTTTCGTGACACCAGTGTGTACGCCTGCAGATGTGTACTTTGTGAAGTAAAATTAGCCAAAAAGCGACAAGTAGTGAGACAGGATTCATTCTTATTTTCAAATGTGCTGAAGGTTAGAATGACAGAATTCCCGTAGCATTGCTCATGACAGACGTTACCTACTGTGAACGTATTACATACAGCATTATTTTTACTTGCTTAAAGAGTGATAACTACACACCTTTCTTGATATAAATTATAAAGAAGTCCGTGGTTCACACAACACCAGTATTTAACAGAAAGGAGAAGAGGAAACGTTCCCAATGGCACAAAAATTAGATATTCCGTGAAAATAACCCACGTGTCGTTGTGGTTTGCCTAGATTAAGTGTATCAGAAAGTAAAGTGGGTATCAAAATATCAACTTCATATGCCTGCCCTTTTCAGAATATTCTTACCGCTGGGATTTATATCGAATGGAATGTATCTCGTGCTGATCCGGCTGGGTGAGTTTGCCGAATCTTTTGCATCAGCATCATCCTTTCTCTGGCATTTTAGGCGCCTGGTCTCCTACCGAGCTGTGTCAAAAAGCGATGCGCACACTGAACAACATGAACTTTGAACGCCTTCTCTTTGATCCCCGTTGTCAAGTTGGAGGATTCGTATTCTTCATAGACATGTCCCACACAAGTATGGAGCAAGCTAAACAGTGGACGGATATGAAGAACGCAAAAAGTGCATTCAAGTTGATGCAAGTGAGACTAACATTGGTTGCCACTAACAGCTCCTTCTTCGCAAGAGGGTAGTGGAAGAAGTCGAATCGTACAAGTAAAAGTTCCTTACATTTGGACTAGACCAGATGGCAATCACACTTCAGGAAGAGTACCGTACAGCAGTTTCACCCTCTCGAGAGTCGGCAGTGCGCATTTCAGCCGACCCCTGTGGGACTAGAACCCGCAGTCCATCTGTCACCAGTCCATAAGGATGATCACCATGCTACGGGAGACGATAACGACCGACGTGACTAGTTTACTAGATTTAATATAGTAACGTTCACTATCCCCTGACTTGCATGTTACTGCCGTACAGATGGCGAGTAGCACCAGCGGTTTGTCGCTTGCTTAACTTCCCCTTAAGTAAAATCAAACTGTCTACAAGAAGTACTGAGATAGATAATGAACGGTACTAAGGTGACCCCTCGGAATAAGCCTAGACTACCAGATATGTTAATCAGGGTGACGGTACGGCTCATCCACTGCTAGTGTTCCTTCCAATCGCCATACAACCGATCTTTGACGTCACACCGTCAGCTATTGACTAGTGGTAGCAGGCGCCGGTGCGAATCATTGCTCTTACCGTCTGTCCACGGACACCGCCACTTTCCACTTCACTAACAGCATTTCCGTGGACCTCACATAGCCAGTTATTCTCGAGTTTCGGAGGGAAATTGTAACACCTGTTCTATCCTCCTCCACATTTTAGCGCCAGATTAGAAAGATAACAATTTAGGACGTAGAAGACCAGTAGTCACCGGCTAGTCATACTTGGTAAATACTGAGTCCGTCGCCAAACATCGTTGAGGATCTGAATGATACAACAGAACGGGAAGCTAATAATTGACTCGTCTCGTATGATGAAAGGGTGAGTAAATTCGTAGATAAGCTGAGGTCAACGGAATTATACAATATTTAGTGGACTCAACAGAAAATTAAACTGAGCACCCTGACTGTTGGTGTTACATCTGCTCCTGGTTATAAAGTGCTGTGCCACGTAATGGGAATGTGTGAATGCTTTGCAACAGTTTTGAATGTCGGTAATGTGGGGGTAAAAATAGCATATGTGGAGATGGCGTTCCACAATTCACGCACACGTTGAGAGACGAAATTCCAGTGACAATCCCACTGGCTATACTCTGTGGCCCCCTTTAAATGGTGGCTTCTCAATGTGGTATATTCGCTCAGTTTCAGGTGACGAAAGTGTGGTTTGGATACCTCAGGATCTGATACGTCAACATCACATCGCCACGTAAGTATCAGTACTGTCTGCTGTAGACCCTTAGAGTTTTTAGTTTCAACTGGTATGCGAGACGGAACAACCGGTTTACATACTTGACTGACCCGCATTGTGGGATTTCGAGTGCTGAAAACCATAAGTTTTCTAGGACTGTCCCACATGGATATCGTATTCTGAACGGCACTAATGTGGACAATGAGCAGCTGAGAGAAGATGGAAGTGTCAAGTCTTCGCAATGCTTTCCACAATAAAAAAGTATTGGTGGACTTCATTTAGTGCCTTCTCAGTCTAAAGTGAACAATATCGATCATCCGGTACTTATTCTTACGTCACATCAAAGTAAAGTCGAGTCAAAACAAGCAGTATGCACTTGGGTAGATACATTTTCAGCAGTTTACAATGTCAGTGCAAGTAGAAAACCACATGAACTTAATGGATAATAGCGAATAACGTGTATAATGCAAAATAGGTTTGTGTATCACCGAAGCAACAACCACGCATCATACCGATGGGTATTTTGGGTCAACACTTAGTCGTATCGAGTACAGTAGGATGGAATTTTGATAAAAAGTATTATGGAAAAATAAGTCTCTATATCTAAATCTTGTGAAACAAACAGATAGCAGTTTCGATAGCGCATCATATAGTAAATAATAATGACTTTTAGCAATTCGAAAGAAAGTCTATAACAAGTGTCTACAACATTTTGCTGACAAGAAAATCCTCAAGAGCCTCTCTACAAAGTCCTTTGCCTCTGGAAATAAGTATTAACATCTGCACAATTAAAGTGCATAATGTTTAGGTAGTCCATGAAAAATTACTGGAGAGTGCAGTGAAACTAGTGAGACAGTCACAAATTTAATGCTCAAACCACGAGATACTGAAAGTATCTTAAGTCTGAGAGTATGAAAGGGGAGCCCTCCAACCTTGTAAAATGTTTCGGTTAATTGGGTGGACCAAGATAGCCGTCTGGATAAATGACTTCAAATATTTGCAGTTGGTATCTTGGGCCGGTGCTGATCACTCACTGCCATTGAAGAAGTGGCATCGGAAACAGCTTGTGACTGCTCTGCCCAAAGAAAAGAGAATGTAGTATCACAACATGTAGAAGTGTTCAGAATGAGAGACCGGAAAGATGACCACAGCACAAAGTCATCAACTGGAGCTATACATCCCATAAAGAAATAATCTGCGTACTTGTATCCACTAAGATTGGATGGTATACATTTTTCGATAGACGAAGGAAACAGAGGGGGAAAGAGAAACGCTCCCTGTAAACATTCAATACATACGCGTCGTGCAGTTTGACCCTGCAACTGTGCACACAAGTACATTGACGGCGCTACTCAATCTTTTACATCTGGTAGTGTTGGACCGCTTATGAGTGTTGTGGCCGACTCATAACGATGTCCCTAGTCATGTTTCATTAGCTGGTTAAAACACAGCGACTACGTTCTCATTGGCTATGTAATATCCGGACGGTTAAAATTGATTATTCCCTGTGCCGTGTCTGTAGCCGTCTGATTGGTTACGGATACGCAGCCTACATTTTTCTGTTGCTCCTCGATAAGACCTTGGGCGTCGCGAGCCCAAAGATTAAGCTTTCCATTCAGCCTCTATTTGGGAGTTATTGTGGTAGCAGCTAAACATTGGATGCCGGGCTACGTTGGAAAAAAAATCTTTCCAAAACAATTTGGGTTTAAGCAGCGATTTTCATACTCCGCCTAGTGAGAAAAACAGACTGAAGCTTTTTCGACATTTATCCGGGGATGACGACAGCGGTTGGTTGATGATTTTCTCCCTCAAGTGCGCTCGATCGTGTATGAGATTAAAAAATGCAAGTGCTTATTGCAAGATAGGTTTTCTCCCTCATGCATCAGGAAATAGGTGAAACTTTGAACGATTTCGTTACCAGGTTGAGTTGCACAGTACGACCGTGTGGTTATTCTTGAGAACATTTGTAGCTCGGGATGCGGATGAAGGTATTCGGGTGTTCTCCTAGCTGGGTAATTTTGGCTGTCTTTTCATCCTCAGACTAGACGACATTATCATTGCGGTATGTGCTGGGAACTTCAAGGTCCAAGTGATCATTGATCAGTTAATGATTCCAATGTCAGACCTCGATGGAGCGACGTGAGTTGACCGTGTAATCAGCTCTTGAGTTCACTTGGGTAGCTTTCGCCTCCTTGAAGTAACTTTGCCCTGTTGCTTTGAGGTTGAGTACTGATTTGATCCTCAGCGCTTCATATGCAGTATCTAGCTACAAATGTTTGTTGTTTGAGTATGGCCCTGAATAACAAGCTCTGATGAACTCGTGCACGTTTTGACTTTTCACTTTGCCTTTGATCCTGACAATCCCCAAGTCAAACTGACGATTATCGGCGTCCATATCTCCCAACGGCAGAAAATTCTGGTCATGTAGGCGGATGGCTAGGCTATGCTACTGTAGCCTAGTGCCAAGTCGGCTTGTTGTCTGACCCACATAGTATTTGTTACAATTTTTGTAGTTGATTTTGTAAATCACACCACTTGTTTCTTCCCTGCCAAGCCGGTTCCTACTGCTACAAAGCTTATCTCCGATAGGTTCCGTCAGCATGTGAGCAACTCTGATTCCGCATGATGGTAAGAGTCTCGCCGCCAACTCAGAGAATGTTAATGTATAGTAGAATCATTGTCCTTTTTGTCTGTTTCTGATCTTTTTCCAGAGGATGGTCTTTACATCGATGTTAAACAGCGTAAAATGTAACAGGATTATTCTTCCATTCCCCTGAAAAAGATGGAAGGATGTATCCTGACTCAACAACTGATTTCTGAAATTGCTGACAGTCGTATCCGTGAGGTGTTGTTGCAGAAAGATGCGTGCACATTAACCTGGGACCAGGCTTGGGAGTTAGCCAGAATGAACAGGGAAATTTCACTGCAATCGAAACAGTTCGGTTCGATCAAATCAGCTGAGGTGACAGAGGTGTTATCTTACCGATAATTAGTAGCGGACAAACCTTCTTGTTATCGCTGCGGAAGTACTACTCATAGCTAATTTTGCCACTTGTCCAGCACGCAGCCTCGCGTACTAAAACTGGCAAAATTGGGCATTACGTCCGATGTTGTCAGTCGCAGACCATCGCACTCATCAACAAGGATTCTGCATCTGATCCATTTCAGGAAAAGAATAATTCCATCACGGCTAATGCTAGCACTTCAAAAGTCTAACAATGTACGCTATTGGATCAAAGTTTACGCTTATAATCGTACTGTATCACTCTTGACTAGTAAAGGCACCGTTCCACATGAAATGCAGCTAAATTCTGCTACTCCGGTTACTATTAGACCACTCCAATTTTACGAACGCTACCTTTCCCAGTATACTTTACAGTCCACTTCGCATTCATTTTTGACTTATAGTGAAAACAACTTAAGCATATCGGGATTCATTATCGTGCCTTAACCGATGTATTCAGGAACTTCGGATGTTGCAGTGTGCATTATTACAGACAACAGCCTACTCTTACTTGGAAGAAACGCCATGGTGGCTTTGCAACCAGTATCATCTTTCTGCCGCATGCATCTCTCTCCCGTCAAGGTGACATACTGGCCTGAACATTATCCTAAACGACTGATGAGTAGTGAGGTGTGTCAGCCGTACACCGTAACGGCGCTTCGCTGCCCTGCGACCCCCATCAGTCGCACGAGGGCTGAGTATATGGCAAGGACGCCCACCCCTACGCGGATTCGAATCCGAACCGCAAGGTTACGAGACATCCTCGTTACTTCTAGAATACGGTATAATTCAGCTGATTCATCATGACCACTCTCAGTTAG